ATGTGTCTTGCTGTATTTTTCCTTTCGTCATGGAAGTTTGGTGTTCTTCTTGCTTCTTGTATATCAATTTTCAGCTCCTTCTTCACATTTGGGAAGTTCTCTTCAATTATCTCTTTGAATATTTTCTCTGTTCCTACATCTCTCTCCTCTCCTTCTGGTATTCCTATAACTCTTATATTTCCTTTCCTCATGGAGTCAGATAGTTCCCGACGTCTTTCTTCGTTCTTTTTCCTTCGTACTTCTCTTTCCTTTTCTGTTTTGGTTCTTTTTATTTCTGTGTCTTCAAGAGTACTTATTCGTTCTTCCATTTCATCTATTCTGCTTTCATTGCTTTTCCCAGAATTCTTTAGTTCTTCCATTAATTCTTTGATCTCCTGCATTTCTTTTACTTCCCTCTTTAGGGACTCAATTTCATTCTTCTGACCATTGTTTTCCCTCTTTAGGGACTCAATTTTATTCTTCTGATCGTTGATTATTTTTCACTTATCATTGTTTTCCTTTATGACTTCTGTCAGTTTTTTAATCACGGCAATTTTCAATTCTCTTGAAGGCTCAGAAGTTCTTCCAAGTTACTGTCGTTGCAATCTGGGGGCTGGTTTTCTTTTTTTGGTGTGCTTTTTCCCTGGGGAGTTGCTAGGTTGCGTGTGGTTCTTCTACTCCCTACTGTCTGTTTTCTAATTTGCCGTATGCGTTGGGACACTGTGTTGTTGGGACTGGCCGGCATCTTGGGTGAGCTTCTCTGCTCCCCTCTGGTTCCTCCAGGAGCCATATGTCAGTTTCAAGCAGTCTTTACTGGAGAAAGGTCCCTGTTCTAAAATGCCGATGTGGGGACACACTCCCCTGTGCGCCTGGTCTGCCCCGGCGGTGGGTTCCTGCTCCCCCTCTGGGCTTGGACTGCAGGCCAGAGGGGGTCTGGCGTGGGCGAACTTCCCCCGCTCACCTCTGGCTCCTGAGGAAGCCTTCTGCAGGTAGTCTTTACTGAAGTAATGTCCCTGTTCTAAAATGGTGATGTGGGACACACTCCCTGTGCGTCCGGTCTCAGGCACACACTTCTGCGCGCCTGGTCTGCCCCGGCTGTGGGTGCTCACTCCCCCTGTGGGCTCAGACTACTGGTCGGAAGGGGCCCGGCGTGGGCTAACTCCCCAGCTAGCCACTGGCTCCTCCAGGAGCCTCTGCTGGTTTTAATTCGCTAGGCGGCGCCAAAGATCTCTCCTAGAGCCCTTGGGGAGCTGATTTTCCACCCCATGGGACAGGGACCAGAGCGGGAATGGTAGGGTAAACCTCAACGGCTTTGGGGTGCTGTGTCTGCCTTGTGCCCCAAGGCACAATTTAGGGGAACCCACAATTAGGGGAACCCACGCCCCTAATTTTGTGCCCCGGGTCTCAGTTCCAAAGCCCTCAGTTCCAGGACAAGGGCTGTAGCCCAGTTCAGTGGCACGGGAATGACGCCTTTTGAATCCCGCTCCCGTGCCTGGGCGCCTGGTTCCTGCTCGCTCAGTGAGGGCCTCCGCGCGTCTCCCTGCAAGCCTAGGTCGCAGGCGGGGGACCTGGGCAGCTGTGATCTCGATCCGCGTTTACTTTTCAACCGCACTGCTTTTCCGCGCAATCCCGATCCCGATCCGCGTCTGCTTTTCCAGCACGTGCCGCTTTTCCGTGCAAGCTTACTGGGTGGCCCAGGGCTGTGTGCTGGTGCTGGTCTCCTCCTGGGGGGGCGGGGGCTCTCTTTAATGGCGCCTGGAGCTCACCTCCGCGGCGAATCCTGCAGGATTCTCCACAGCTCCCGTTCACGGGGTGTGGTGGCTGCAATAGTTCCTTTCCACTCACAGTCCCGCTTGCTGCGTAGTTTGTTCTTGTTGGTCGTTTTAGTTTGTTGTTTCCCTCCTCTCTGCGGGTCGGAGAGTGCCGACTCTGTGGGCGGGGGAGGGGAGCAGGGTTCTGCGCTTTCCTCCCTTCTGGTCCTCTTTTATGGCCTCTTTCTTCTTTGGGCAGTTTGCTGGAGTCACCCGTTTATCTTCCGTGTCCCGGTTCTCACTGGGACCTGCCGCTTTTCCTCCCTATTAACTTTTTCTAATGGGAGATCTTACTCGCAGCGTCTCCTCCCCGCCATGTTGCTCCGCCCCCCCTCTTGCAGGTTAAATCTTTTATGGCCATTTACATAAAGGGTCACGCATCAGTATTAGTCTTCAAAACCTTCCCGAGAGCCATTTCAGAGGGGGCTGGAGGGATCACTTGGTGATTTTTGCTACTGTCATAGCACGACATTTTGTAGAGTACAATTCTATGTATTATATCAACAACCCCAGCTTTTATAATTGACCTAATTCACAGACTAATTAAGACACACCTATCCCTTCATTTGAACAAAGTTTTTACATGAAGATTAGTTTTACAGTAACATAATCCTTCACCTAGAATATTCCACTAAAAGTTCGACCTTATTTTTCCTCTTTTTCCTTGTAGGTCTCTTTTCATATGTACTTGGATATAAACGATAGAGATAAATTGTCACACATTTGCTTTCTAGTTATAAGCTGGTTTTCGGGCTTCCTAAGCACTGAAAAATGAAACCAAACAACTGCTTTCCACATAGAAAAAGTTTCAGTGATTATACTGTATTGTACATAAATCAGTGTTGATCTAGATTGGTGACAGAATTTCTGACTATCTCTAATTTAAAGAACTGGCCATGCCTTTTTTCTCTGTTTTACATTGTACGTGCTCCTGGAGGTAAAGGGCTGTTTCTTTTACAGTCGCCCAAGGCTCACACACACTCTGGGTACCCAGGTGGGAAGTGAAGCATGGGTGATGTGAGCATCCTCAGCAGAGTGTGTAGTCACACCTTTTCCAGCTTCCAAAGAAGTGTATGCTTCTGGTTAGCTCTTTTTTTAATAAATTTTACAGAGATATCATCCATTCCCATATATTGTGTCTATAAGATAAACATAGATATCATCCATTCCCATATATTGTGTCTATAAGATAAACAGTATACAACTTGTGATTTTTTTTTTTACTATGCTCACATTGTTATAGTTATCATTAGAATCAATTTTAACACTCAGCCCAGTAGCAGAGCCTCTCCATTTTCCTCCCAGCGTCCCTCTCCAGCCACAGACAAGCCCTAGTCTGCTTTCTCTCTGATTTGCAATCGCTGTGATTTGCCTATTCGAAAAAAATTCATGTAAATGGAATTATATAAATATTGCTTTTTTTTTTTTTGACATCAGTCTTTCCCTTAGCATGTTATTCGCATGTTTCATCCATGGTGTAGTATAAACGAATATTCCATTCCTTTTTGCGTGCTGAATAACATAGTGTGTGTGTGTGTGTGTGTGTGTGTGTGTGTGTGTGTGTAGTCTTGTATTGCTTAAAGACATTTGGTCAGTGGTGGTGCTGCATATATGCCATTGGTTCCAGTGGTCTGCACCATGCAGCCTGGATGTGGTGTAGGCAATACCATCTAGGCTTGTGTAATTACTCTGTGACATTCACTCAGAGATGAAATCACCGAACAACACATATCTCAGAACACGTCCCCGTCCTGAAGCCACGCGTGACTACACCACATTTGGTCTACTCATCCTTTGATGGACATTTGGGTTGTTTCTGCTTCTGGCTAATGGGAAGAATACTTCTGTGGACTTGCAGATCCAGGTGTTTTTGTGGGCATGTGTTCACACGTAGGAATAGGGGACTTGCTCGGTCTTATGGTTACTATATGTTTAACCTTCCATGAAGCTCCAGACTGCTCCCAAAGCGGTTGCGCTTGCCTGTCAGTACAGCATGAAAAGCCCGCGTTCTCTGCATCCTAACACATCCTTGCTGCTGTCTGTCTGCTGGTCACAGCCCTCTCATTCCGGGCAGTCTTTTCACTTTCTTCGTGGAGTACCTTGCAGCCCAGAACTTTTTCATTTTTGATGCAGTCACATTTATCCACTTGCCTTTTGTTGCTTGTACGTTGGGTGTCATTTCTAAGGAGGCTTGCCTAGCACCACGTCACAAAGGTTTACTTTTGTTTTCTTCTGTTTTACAGCTTTATCACTTACATGTCAGTGTGATCTATCTTGAGTTCCTTTTTGTGTTAAGGAAGGGGGAGGAGGCCAACTTCAGTCTTTTGCATATGGTTATCCAATTGTCCCAGCCCCATTTGTTGAAGAGACCATTATCTCCCCCATTGACTGGTCTCAGCACCTTTATCAAAAATCAATTGATTATAAATATAAGGGTTGATTTCTCAACACTCAGTCCTGTTGTACTGATCTCTACATCTGTCCACACTGCCGGCACCACACTGTCTTGGTTTGTCATTTCGTAGTTAGGTGTTGAGTAGTTAAGACACAGTTTCTCCAACTGTGTTCTTCTTTGTTCCAGAATGGTCTGTCTGTTCTGGGTTCTTTGTATTTCCATATGAACTTGGGGGTCAACTTGTTAATTTCGTAAAAAAAAAAAAAGCGAGGAAGCCAGCTGTGATTTTAGTAGGCATTGCACTGGCTCCTCCGAGCTTTAGGTTAACTTTTGAGACAGCAGTCAGTGTACCTGGAAGGACACAGGGGTAAGGAAGTGAGCCCACCCACTTCCTCAGGTCTGTGGGGGAGGAGGGAGAACCCCTCAGAGGCCGTGCTTCAGACTTTCCTTCCTCTCACAAGCCGACTAAAAGAAAAATTACTGGTTAGATAGTAAATGCAGATTGCTAGAAAATCCTCGTACAGTTTGTACCTTTTACAGCAAGATAGCTGGCTCCCTGCCTTCACACTAAGTCAATTTCACTCTAAGTTAATTTTCAATTAAAGGAAATTCTGTCATAGTCCATTTCTTTGAACTGTTTGAGGTCTGTTCACAGCAACCAGTCACCGGGGTGGTGGGTGGGGTAACTCTAGGCCTGCTGTGTTCTCTCACCTTGGCCCCATAGAGAGCAGCCTGGGAGTCATCCCCTCGCCGGTGTGCGTCTCTGACAGTGAACGCAGCTCCCTGTGGTCACTTTGTCCTTCTGTCCTCTGCAGGCGAGGCTGGAGATCTGTGCTCTGCGGGACACCGTGGCTGTTCACCTGACGCCTGACAGCAAGTGAGACACCACCCAGCCCTGTGCTAAGTGCTTCGCTGAAAACAGCTTGTCTGACTGGTGTGCAAAGGCCTTTGTGAAAGTGCCTGGCTGGCCGAGGGGATGCTCCCAGTTTTGTGACGTGGTCAGGTTTATCTTTGGTTGATCCACTTTTTAGCTGAAAATCATAAACCGATCATAAACCAAGAACTTCAAAGACAGCTTCTTTGTAGCATGATATAAAGGGAAAAAGGGCTTCCTATTGTTTCATGGTTTTCATTCACTCAGACAAGCCTTGGCCTCATCCGTGATGTGGCAGAGTATGATTACCTGCTGCTTTTTTTTTTTTTTTAAAGACAAGTATAAGAGTTGAGTCTGACGGATTCATAACAGCCTCTGAAGGATAGTTCGTATTGTGAATAACAGCATCAGAGGAAGCTTTGTGGTTTCTCTGCAAAATTTTGTAGTGGAAATTTGATGATAATGTTTAGTTGTTTTGAATGAAAGTCAGGATTTCCTATCACTGTTAGTAGGTGAACTAAAACAATCCTGACTACTTGCCTGTAGAGAATTGTTTACCCCCTTGGCAGAATTACTGAGGAAGTAAGTGAGAACACTTGAGAAACGTCCCTGAGAAACCCCGGGCTCTACACATCAAATATCTGAGACACTTTGCGTGTTACACATGGTCATGTCCTGCGACTGGTGACCTGATTTTTGCCATCATCCTCACAGCCATATTTACAAAGGAAAAGACTTTTTAAATTGTTTCCTGACTTATGGAGGTAGCACTATCCTGGCTGTGCAGAATTGTGTCCGCATGACTCCTGTTGTTTAACTGCACCCTTTTCCAGTCATTTTCCTGCTGTGTTAAGTGACAGATGACAGAAAGCCTGCCTGTATGTGAAGTTTATGCTTGCACTTCTGTGCACGTGCCTAGGCATTTATCCCGCTCCCTGAACCCCTCAGTCCAGGTTCAGCATCGATGAAAGGAATGTAATCATACTTTCAGCCAGAGTTTTCAGGGAACTAGATGAGAAAATGTGTCACGTCGCCTCTACACTGTTGGCGCACGACAAGTAATCTTGAATCAGCGGCATCTTTAGCATTATTGTTATAATGTGAAAATAAAGAATAATCGTATCCCATTTCTTCTGGTTAATTGAGAAGAGGCTTACCAAAAATAAAGTAACGGTGGAGATGATAGCAGAGACTACACATCAGGAAAGAGGGAAGTTGATTACCTGTTGGGAAGGAGCTAAATTTGCCCACTGCTAAAACCCACCCACACCCAGCACCTGGCCCGTTTCTGGAACAGTGGATTTTTCCCAGCCACAAAAGATTGAAAAAAGAAGCTAAGAAGTTCTTCAGTGAACAATCCAACTCGCTACCAAATAACCTTCCATAAAACACTTCATTTGAGTCCGTAACTTCTGGCACTTTCTACTTTACAGAGTCAAACATTCCAAGTTGGTGTTTTCTTTTTTCACTTCACTCCTTTTCCCTTTTTTAAGAAATGAAATGATGCTAAAATTTTTAAAATATATACATACTTCTTTCTATTTTCTCACAAGTTTTATTTGTACGAATAGCTGATACCCATAATGCCCTTAGTTAGTCTAAGATATTGCCTATAAATCAGGCCCTGGACCTGTCAGTTCTATAATATTCAGAAGATCATCCCCATTTCTACTTAGTTTCCTTTCTTTGCACCAGTCAGTTTATCTCCCATTCAGTTTTGTTTTGCACAGACATCTTTTTAAGCTCAGCTTGTCCTCGTTGAAGTCTGATCCTCCGTGGGTAGCGCCTCCTAAAACTCAGCTTCTCCTCAGCCTGGCAGGTTGTTTCATTTCCTAGTTGAGCTTGTCTGACCCCACTCCTACAAAGCCTCCATCTGGTAACTGCACCCTTACTTTTACTTTTACTTTTTCTATTGTTTTTCACTTTTACTTTTTCTCCTATTTCTTCATGCTCCACTGGCTTGTGTCAGTGTCTTTAGATGGAAGATAAACTTAAGAGTTCTCAATGATGCTCCTCCTTCCCCTTGGAAATAGGAAATGTTTCAACTCCACTGTTGCTGTTTATGTTCCAGGTCCAGTTTTAAACAGGCTCTGGAAGCCCTGCCCCAGCTGTCCAGCGGAGCAGATAAAAAGTAAGTCCAGGAACCTCTAGACCAGCAGAATGAAGCATTGTTACCTAAAAGTACTCCTTTTTCAAATAATGGCTAGGGTTTAAGGAAAAGCAGCAAACCTAGCCCTTACACACCATGTTGGTGGCACCTGGCTCATCTCTTAAGGGACAGGACAAGGTAAAACCTTTCCTTCGGTTCTTTTCTTATTTTAGGTGATTAGTACAGAAAACATCATCAGAAAGCTTCTTTTGACTCAATTAACTATAGTCTTATCTTAAATTTTTAAGAAGGTAACACTTAGAGAAATGTAGAAAGGAGGGCAGCATGGTAAACACAGGACTCAGTGATTTGTGTCCCTGTGCGTAGCTCAGCCATGTATATTTTGTGCTCCATATAACAAAGTGTGAAGAAAGTGTAACATGATACAGTTTTGTGTGTGTGTCACTAATCTAACACTATATTAGGGACCTCTGCCTGAGTTTAAACTTTGCTATTCATATAACAGGAAATTCTGACCTGAGCCAAAATCTAGGCCAGGCAAAATTCATAAATGCCCAGCCTGCCCTCAACAGAGGCAGAGGAAATGTTGATCTCTGCTCCTTCACCAGCCGTAACTCAAGGCCGCCCACCTGTGTGTCTGGCTGATTGGTCCAGAGATGGGTATATATGGTGCCTTTGCTCATGGAGAGACCCAGTACTGGGCTCTGTGCTCCAGCCCAGGTGAAGTCTGTGGAAACTCCAGGGCAGAAAGGGACACACTGGCTCAGCTACTGGGAGGAAATGTTAGTTGGATATTGACACTTGAACCAGAAGAATGGGTTGCCGACCAGTTCTTTCACTGGTATATTCCTACATGGGCAAGTGGGTACTTGTCCAAACATCACCCACACCTATAGCCCTGTCTTCCATTTTCCTACCTCCTCTATCTGAAGTGGTTCCAAATCCTGTTCTCTTGTTAAAAGGTGATCAAAGATTAAAACCATCACTATTATTTTTAACATGGAATGTGACTCAAAGTTGTGCTTTTGGGGAAAGTCAAGAACAAAAGTCACCCTGATATAGTCCCAGGTGGGACTGTATTTTAGGTCCACAACTAGAACAGTGTTCTAACCTTTAGCTTCTCTTGACACCAGTGCTAATAAGCCCAGTCTAATCAATTAATTTTAAGATACCTTCTGGCCCTAAAATGGTATGTAGATGTATCAGTCCAATTAAGGAAGCAAACTGAGTTTTCAAGTAGAATGATATGCCTAGTGGAGTTAGTACTAACCCTGATTCTTCTGGTGTTTAATCCATCACTTTAGTTCACTACTTTGCAGTAGCTAGAACAGTACAAACTCAGGGAAACTGTGTTGACCCAACTTGGGAGGGCCTCACCTGTGTACTTAAGAGCGCAGGACATGACCCCAAAGCAGACAGGGGAAGAGCAACAATGACAGACTTTATTTGCACAGGGAGAGAGAGAGCGTGCATTTACAGGCTGGCCCATGGCCAGATGCCATTTGTCCTACCCCAGATATCATCCACTGAGCAGAGCCCAGGGTCCAAGCCAAAACCACACTGGCAAGCTGGTGGCTTCTCCACAGACACCCCTCCTCACTAGAAGTTTAACCGATGAACCCTCAGTCATATAACTGCCAAAGCACCAATCATTTTAGTTGCCAAAAGCCTAGCTCCCGCTCTGTTTTCCATCAACTCCACACAGGACATCAAGGGGTGGAGTCTGGAAAGCTCCGCCTTCTACCATTGGGTTGACCATGAGCACTACCCACTGCCTCCGGAGGTCACTCCCCTCTGCTGCTCTTATACTCTTCAAAGTTTGTTAGAGACAGAGATGCAAAATAAGAGCAACAGAAAATACACCAATAGTCACCCATGGGTGGGGGTCAGGAGTGAGATGATTACATAAGGGCCACACAAGAAAATGTGAGGGTGATGGGACTATTCAGTATCCCCACTATGGGGGATGCATTTTTCAGTATTAATAGAACTGTATACCCAAAGCACATTTTAGTGTCTGTAAATTTTTTTCAAATAAAAGAAACAGTGCAGGCCCAAACATTTATCTGTTTTAGGGAGGAATATAATTATTCTAGGGGAAGGGAACAGGAGGAAACTGTGACATAGTAATACTAATATATATAAATATATTCCTTTTGATAAGTGTCTTTGATTGACTTATTTCTGATATTGAGTTTAAAATACTTTGATGAATATTTTTTTCAGAAAGCAGAAGCAGAGACTGGGAGTCACCCCCTTCTTCACCTCCCCCTTAGCATGTTTTCTTGTTGCTAGGCAACCTTCCCTCTGTCAGGAAGTAAAATCATCTCTCCTCCCTGCAGGTTACTGGAAGAACTGCTGAACAAGTTCAAGAGCAGCATGCACTTACAGCTCACCTGTTTCCAGGCTACTTCTTCAACCCTGATGAAAACATAAATACCAAACACGGGTAGTCCAGAAAGATGCCAAGTGATAAATTTGTTCACTTACTCAAGTGCCCTAAAGGTATTTGCTATATAAAGCATTAGGTTTGTAATTTCTTTCTTGGTCTTTTTTTTTTTTTTTAACCCTGACTGAGTAGCCAAGAAAGATGGTGTAAGCTTCATTTTGCATTGAAGTATTTGAAATGTCCAAGCGTGTTTGTCTTGCTGTTTTTATTACACTGAGTCCTAGAAAATATCTTTTCAGAAAAAGCACATACACTCACACACATACTTTTTTTTCCCTTGGTTAACTGTTGCCCAGTGTTTTGAGATGGCATGTGATGTAGACTAAGCATTTTCCAGCGTTGCATTTTCTAGAATTTTGGTAGCTCCTGGGACACATGGAGAGGTGGATAAAAAAAGACTTGGAAAGTTCTTTCAATGTCTGGGGAGCTTTAAATCTCCTATACCATGTGCTGAAAAATCTTATACAAGTAGCCCCACATCTGCCAATTCCAGAGGACTTGTGGAACTGTGTATCATCTGTATATTTGTCGCCTACCTGTCCCTGAATCAACGTTTTATTTTGCTACCTGATTTTTATTTTTCACAATGCTGATCTCTCAGTCAGTACATGCTCAGTATAGTATAGTTTTTTGGTCTCTGCATTTGCTGTGTCACTCCACATCAGTGAGTCGCCTGTCTCCAAGCCCCATTGGTGACATGTTTGGAGCAGGACATTTTGGAGTTGCCATCGGGATCAGCTACCATCCCCGGTGCCTCCTGAGGAGCAAACGACCCCTTACAAGGCCCATGGCCACGGCTGGCACTCCTCCCACCAAGGTCCTGCCTTCCCTTCTGGTGGTTTCTCTCCTTTCCACCACCTCCTGCCCTTTGAAGTCTCTTGCTCAGAGGCTGAAAGAACCCGGTTCTGGTGCTATGTGTGTTTCCTGAAGATTCGAAGGTACTCCTGTGCTCACCGGTGGTAGGAGCTTCCGAGCCACATGACATTTGTCCTACATTTGCTGCTGACTTCGTTTACCAGAAAGTTCAGGTCAGCATGACCTCTTTCCCAGTCACTTCCCCTGCCTCACTTCATCATGCCCTGGCTTCAGAAAACTGAGTAACTCTCCCCTTGTAGCCTGCTCATCAGGGTTTTCAGATTTTCCTACACGTGTCATAGAATCTCCCTTCTTTTAGTTATGCTAAAATTAATGTCTTTATTAATACAAGTAATTTCAGGGCAGAGGCAGTGTCCATTATTTGAAATAAGTCAACACCACTGAGTTTGTTCGCCTGGTGTACGAGGAGGAAAATCATCATAACTGGAAGTAAAAGTTCAATCTTCTACTAATGTGCTTGCTAAGAAATATTAAGAAATATTCAAAAGATCATCTCTCCTGAGCACGTCGACCACTGTGTCTATGGACTAAATGACAAAATCTCAATCCCAAATACTTGTATTCTTTTTAATATCTACTACAGAGCGTTCAGCCAGTTCAGAATCTGCCTGCCATACAATGTATTAGTTGGGGGACAATTTTCCCCTCTGCAGCTGTATTTCAGCCTTTTCATTAGTTGTCAAACTTTGTGAATGTCTCATTTAAACATTTAAAATAAATGCCAAAATTCAGGTTTTTCTTATGTGTGTCCAATCATCGTCAGAAAGCATGGACCCCAAGTCCTGCTAATTCTGTGCTCTCTGGGGCTTGTCCCACCCTGGGCAGTTAGCCCCCCACCACCAAGCATCGAGGTGGCACCATGTCTGCTTCCCAGGTGAGGAAAGGGCAGCTTAGAGAGTTGACCATGCTGGTGAGGGCAGGCTCTGGTCACACTCACAGACACTGGCTCCATAGCTCTTTATCTCACCACTGCCCACCCTTCCTGCCAGTCAGGCATGCCTCCTGCTGCCCCTGCACCAGTGACTGCTGGAGAAGCACATACACTCCTGGGGATATGAAAATGGAAGCAAAACAGGAACAGGTAAATGCTCTTCTGGCTCAGAGAATGGAGGGTAGCCTCACAAAAACCCCGTACCCAAATGAGGTGGTTCCAAGACTACTATTCCAACCAGTCACAGGGGACTTCTTGGAGGAAGGGGGATTTCAAGAGCTGTTTGAGTTTACAGAAGAAGAATGTCAGTGGCTCAGAGATGTAGTTAGAAGAACTGTAGCTGAGAGATGAACTGGTACCTGGAGCAAATTTACAAAGAGGTAACCAGAAAAAAGGAATGAAGGTCCTTCTACATGCAGGTAGCACCTGGGTCCAGCACAGGCCATGTGGTCAGCCCGACTTTGTGGCAGTTAGCAAAGTCAGCCTCCCCTTCAATGCTAAGAAAGCATAAAAAATAATTTGTTTTTACTAAGACTTTCTGTATCAATGTACCATGAAAGTGGCATGTTCTAGAAATGATTCTGGCATTGCAAAACAAGCAGCGTTGTGTAGGACAGAGGCCTGACTCACTCGATTGCCTGATCCTTGCATGCAGCTTTCTTAAAGGGGCAAGTAGAAAAGGTGACTTTTTAAACTCTGGATTTGGTACAAGATGTGATGTGTGTTATGTCTTCTGAAAAGTTATCTGAAGTTTCAACCAAGTTTTAAATCAAGACTAAGTTTCTCTAGGAAGTACATTTTATTTAATACATGCATAGAATCACTATACTTAGCTAGAGACTAACACTTAAATACTTCTTTGCCATTAAACATTGACCTTGTAATACTCTCATAAAGGGTTTCATGTGGATTTAGAAACTGATCTGCAAACCTGCAAAGTCTATTGACTATTTGGTATCTTTCAACAGCCATTATACATGATGTTAACTTTGCTTTAGATGCAGGTTGACTATTTTTTTTTACAACAGGCCATCATGCTTTTGGGGTACTAAAGTCTCCTCATTTTCTGTTTACTCATGGAACAGCCATGGGTAAATGGTACAGCCTTTTTGTGTCTGCCCAAGTTACAAATGCATAACAATAAATACTTTATGAACTTATTTTACAAACACTATCTGGGTATTTAGGTTGCCTGTCTGTCATTTGGTTTCAAAAGGCAGGAGGATATCAAGATACCTTTCTCCTGGCCAGTCCCTTAAAGCCTTAGACAAGGTTAGCACTGCCTTCCTCAAGGTCATAACCTTGACCCCTGTCCCACTGCTTGCTGCTGTGCTGCTGTCTTGCCATTGTGATTTTCATTGTTTTCTACCATATTTTATTCTTGACTATTCCTGTTCCACCTACTTACAAATCCCTTACTAGGCACAAATCCCTGAGAACCACCACCGCCTGACCTCTGGTTGCCAAAGAAGGTCCCAGAGGGAGAGACGAGCCAGGAGAGAATGGCGTCACAGCATCACAAAAGCCAAGGGATGGGCAAGAGGCCCTGTCAGAACAGGGAGATAGTCAGCAAGGTCTAATGTTGCAGATTCATCCAAAGGCTGAGTGCTGATAAGTGGGTGCAAGCCTTGGTATTTAGGAAATCACCAATGACCAGAACTCGAGTAAGAAGGAAGGCACCCAAGAAACTTAAGACTTTGGACGGATCCTCTTAACTCACCATGAAGGATGTAAGGAGAGCTGCCTTTGCCTTGAATACCAGAAAGGATTCTGCACAGAATTGCAGTACCCAAGGGCTAGTCTTTAAGACTCCTTCCTCACCTTCTCTTTTTATTTTTTTTTTTTTTTTTTTAAAGATTTATTTATTTATTTATACAAGCACTGGGTACAGTCAGAAGCGCGGGAGGGTGAGAGAATTCACCACAGCCAGAGCGGGGAGCAGAGCAGGCAGAAGGACCGAGGTACACTGCTGAGGGGAGCAGCGGGCGGCAGGAGAGGTCTGCGCGCCATGTGGGACCCTCCTCTGGTGGCCGGGGAGCAGCCGGGAATCGAACTGGCGCTGCAGAGGCTGCGGGCAGCTTCGCAACCCAGCGCTCAACCGCTGCGCCACCGGGAGGCCCTCACCTTCTCTTTTTAAATTCTTCCTCTGGGTGGCATCTGCTTATTTGTCTCTGGTCTGTTGGAATAGCTTAAAAATGTACCCATCCTCTTCGCCAAAGCCCTCTCCAAATGCTTATTAAATATCTCTAGCTAAATGATGGGAGCTTCTGGAATCAGATCTCCCCACCAAATGGGCCCTCAAAGCCCTCAAGAAATATTTGTGGAATGTTCTTGATGAAGTTATAGTAGCAAATGCATCAGATGACCTTGCTATAATTTTAAATTAGATATATAATTTAAAGAATCAAGTGGAGCCTCAAAGCTGGATGTGACCATGAATAACCCCTCCTCACCTCCCTCACCATTTTGCCACCTCCCTAAAGTCATTGATCCAATGGATCCAATTTTTTGGGTGTTGACCTCCATGGTTCTGTCTTAACACTTCCTTAGTTAAAGACATTTCTTAACACCATTTCTTAATTCTTCAGCTTAAATCTCCACCATCTTCTTGCAGCAAGACATTGAGAAGCTAGCTCTCTCATTGCCTCTGTCATACACACACAACCTACTTATCCTTTCCTCCTAATGGGTCCATTTTGGCCATATCAGTTTCCAGTGCACAATGGCCCTCCCTGCTCATGTAATGCCTTTCAGTGCAAAGCCAGTAATACACTAAGATCCTTTTCCTATTGCATTTTTTCTATCTTCTAGATGCTTTTTTGTGTACTACGAGGGTTATGTCATCTATGTCCTTTCTTCACACATCCCTACACCTCCTCCCTGCAAGGTATACAAATGTCCTTGCACTGTATTCAAGTACAAATGCATTTCATCCAGTTTGTGTTCTTGAACACCCTCACTCCTCCGTCATCCTGGCATCCCCTGTCACAGTCATCATTCTGGAATCTTCCTCTGCCTCTCTGGTGTTGGATCAGCTGCTTTCATAGCCCAGGTCATCCTCTTTCCTGGCTTGCTCTCCCTGATTAATTAAAGTTAGCCCTTGGTTCTTTTGAGATCTTGAATTAATGGAAAAAGACTTTATGATGACTTGTCTGGATATAGAATTCTAGGTTGGAAACCACTAATCCTGAGAATTTTCAAGGCTGTACGCTAGTTGTCCTTCTCTCTCTCTCTCCCCCTCCCTCCCTCCCTCTCACTCCCTCCCCCTCCTCTTTCATTCATTCATTGTAGAAGCCCCTCTTTTTTCCAATTTTCTAAAAATTCATCATGTTCTGGTTGTGATGCTCTTTTATTCCTAGTAATGAGTCTAATGTTTGTAGGTAATGGGATTTTTGTAAATTATTTAGGACTCTTTTAATTTCTTCATCCCCTGTTTTTCTTCTTTATCTTTAGTATTTAGATTGCTTATCCTAGTCCTTTTAAAAAACATAAAATAAAATATTCTTGCTCTTGATTTCTTTCTTTGTCTTTATTATACTTGCTGAGAAGATCTTCATTTTTATCATCCTACCTTTCTATTGGAGTTTTCATTTCTGCTGTGTTTTTAATTTATAAAAGGTGCTTTTCTCTGAATATTTATTTTCTGAATTATTATTTTGTTCTCTAAATATTTATTTTGAGTACTCATTATTTTTCAGGGAATGAATCTTTTAAAAGTTGGATTTTCTTTCCTTTTGCATCATTTCCAGTTTGCTTTATTCTTCTATCTATGTGCTAGAATAAATGCCATATGCTTCTTTCAAATCAATAGAAAGCTTTAGCTGTCTATTCATACATAGCAGTAGAGAACTAAGAAAAATCCATAGATTATAAGCTGCATGCATCATAGGGGCTTTGTCAGCTATGAGCATCAATTAGGTGTGCTATGGATAAGCCTTTTAATTGGTAAATCTGCAGTTTATTGTATTCATTTCCATTTCATTTTTCTGGAGCTGATCATATATCCCAGAGAGGGGTCTTCCTATCTCATGCCAAGAGGAAATAGGCTGTTCTTAGAATCCCAGAAGGCAAGAGGCAGTAGAAGTCTTGGAGGTGCCCATTTCTCAGCTCATTTGATGTCCTGGAACTGCAGAGTGAAGCTCCAGTCTCCTGCTGGAGCCAGGGGAGGGTGGAGAGGAGACCTGGGAACATCAAGTTGTTTCTTGAACATCTTTAAACTGATCCTTTGGCTTGAACCCCAACTTTATCCTCATGCCCAGAAGTCCCTATCCTACAGACTCTTGACCCTTCAGGGAATTTTGTGGCATTAACCAGGTTACATCTTTGTTTTTCCTATTTCCAATTAGGAACTGACTATTTTAGATTCGCTAAGTCAGTTTCCTTTCTCCCATCTACTTGGTAGCTTTCAAAATCTTGCAGCTTTTATTTCCTTTCTGTTGTCTTTTACTTTGTGGATTTATATCTTGTGTATATTTTAACTATATTTTTAAATACATAGTTTTGTGAAGTATGTACTCTTTATATATACAGTATTTATACTATACATATCCTGTATGTGGGTGGGTGGGTGGCTGAAAGTTTGGATGGGTGGATGGATGGATGGATGGATGGGTGGATAGAGATTATTATCATTTTTGTAAGGTTTTGGTTAGAACTAAGGTTCATGTTTGCTTTCCATTTGCCATCTGTAACTGAAAGATCAGATTAACTTTTTGCTTGTTCGTGTCATTTCATCATGACCCAACTTGCTTACAGTGCATGGTCTTCAGGTCCATTGCTCATAAGTATGATCATTTACTGCAGTTTTTCAAAATTGAAGGTGTATTAG